GCGGAGCTTCCACGTCCTTCCGCGCTCTCAGGACAGCATCGTTTTCGGACTAAGATTTGATGAGTTTCTGTGTCGCGCACTTCTGATTGGTCTACCGTTAAAAAAAAAACACCGCTGCTCGTATGGGGATTATATAGCGTGATTTTATAGGGCCTGTTTGAGATACCCCTTGTGTGGGGAAGACATCATCGTCTAATCCGTTTTCAGAAAACCTACCTTCAAACTGAACATAATTCAAAAGCCCGACGTGAGGTCATCCCTTTGACAACCGCCACCTCTCTAGACTGAAGGCAGCAGAAAAAGAACCTTAGCCTGAGTCTGCTTAGTCGGACGGGAGGGATTTGTAGAAAGATCCTGCACGAGAGGAATTCAGTGAGCCGCGATCATAGTACCAACTTCAAGATGTAGAAGTACCGCGGGCGAGGCGATCCGGCGATCTTGTGGAGAACGAGCGAGTATCTAAGTCTAGAATATGTCGAAGCAGCGAGTTGCATGTTGACGCGGCGAAAGATATTGATGACGCACAATGAAATGTCTCCCCTGTTATCACCTCCTGCTCCTTTCACCGGCTGCTGTTCTCTGCCAGCTCAGGGGGTAATGGCAGTCGTTTCTGTATTGTGGAAGGCTGCCCTGGCACTCAGCATCGTGCCGGAACAAATCGCACACATTTTATACAGTTTAGGACATCTCTGAAGTTGCACCTCAGAATTGCGCAGCCTGTTGCCAGGATAGTGACCAAGGTTGAGAGACTCGGGCAGTTGGGCTTCAAATGGCGATGCAATGTGATGCACTCTGTGTGTCTCTGCGCAGCAGATCGCCGAACTCGCAAAGGGCAGTCTGAATTACTTCAATTCATTCGTGCACAACTCTTTAGCTGCTTTCGCACCGAGGCTTTGGTATGAGTGTAAGGAGCAGGACTCTCGCATTCACATGCATCCGTCTGCGGTGTAGACACGGCTTAGTTCTGGCCTGGAGTCGGTCAATCTGACCTTTCAGCAGCTCCCGCACTTTTGGTGCCTCCCAGAATTTAGAGGTTGCGCGGGACTCAGGATTAAGGACATGGCAGCTAGGGCAATGCCAGGGAGTCTACTGCCCCCTGATCAGCACCTTCGCGACATCTGCTGCGGTGCACTTGTCCTCGTTCTGAGCCTCCGATGCATGTGGCTTGTAAGGCAAGGACAGATACTGAAACACAGGCTGCTCCAGGGCTGGCGCTCCCTGCGTTCCTACCAGGACGGGCTACTAGGCATTATAAGTGGCATTAATCTACCCTCATGAGGTTACTACACTGCTTGCAGCAGAAAACCCTTTCAATTGAGTGGAAGGGGTAATCCACAATACCTTTTCCCCAGATAGCATCTTATGAAAACTCTTTAAACGGAATGGATCGGGTACACCACAATGCCTTTTCCCACGATAGCATCTTACTATCATAACGTTCAGGAATTTCAAGGACGGCCGCAAGTAACGCAAGTATCATTGAGCCCGCTCAGTCTGCAATATTCAACTTGCTGACTCCTACGGTAGTAGGAAATGGAGGAGTGGATCCTTGTCATAGCCCCAATCAATCCGGGAATCCTGCAATTACTTCCAAGTCATTGTCCATTCCCTCTAAAACCCCAGAGCATAAACCCTAAGCCCAAGTTGAAATGAAACGTTCATGGCATTTTCCATTGCCTAACCAAGAATCCGAAACACCATAGTAGTATCAATGTTCTCCCCATTTCTTCATTCCCCGCTAACCAGCAAGATAACCCTGAAGCGTACATATTCCTGCACGCACAGGGGTTCCATGCCATGTTCGTTTACTTTTCTGCTTAATGACGTCCCATGCCTTACCAACTGTCATGAACCCCAAGCCCTAAAGTCTAGGTTCCATGTTCTTTCCAATTACCCCTTAAATGCTGCTATATTACCCCTTGAAACCCAGTTTCTTTTCCTGCGTTCCCTTCTAATCCCCTTTCCCTAATATTGTAATCCGCCACCGACCCCCTTCTGACTTGAAGTTCCACATATATGAGTACACCACAATGGGAATATCTAGTATCAATGGGGTGGATGGCAGCATTAGGAGAAATACTCCCTTCATAACCCGTAAATGAACCTGTTTCCATTTCAAGTTCTATTTTCTTTTCCATTATTGGGGTGAAATCCCTACACCCTAAACCCTCCCTAAACCCTCTATAGTTTCCGTGCTCTTTCCCATAATCCCGCTATATCCCCCTAGACCCTCTACACAATGAAGTCTCAGAAGCTGCTGCTCGGAGAAATCCCTACATGGACCTTCCAATGTAGTTTGGACTCTTACTAGGACTACCAAAAAAAGGTACTGCATTGGAGGGTTTAGGTAGGTTCTGTCCTTAAACCAGCATGGGGGCTTCTCTCAGGAACAGGAAGCATTGAAGTGGATTACAAGGTGATTATGGGAGTCTCGGACCTAAACCCTAAACCCTTAACCTTAAACCCTAAGCCCCCAACCCTAAACCCTAAAGATTTGAGTCCCTATTATATTAAAGATTCTAGAGGGATCCTTTCCGGAAGCTCCCAGATGAGCAACTGTCTAAACTCCTAATATCCCCCTTTTTAGCTTTGCAGTAGTCCCGTAGTCCCCTACATGATCCCACTTTAAGGAGTTTCGACTATAGTTCAGATGAGGGTGTCCAAAAGTCTGCATGGCCTGAATATCTGCTCGTGCGGCCAGGAGGAGCCTGGCTTCACATGTCATTCCCTGGGTTGCTGTTAAGAAGCTTAAAAATCAATCTACCACAATGTGAGTACATAGTAGATAATAGTCTCCTGATTATAGTAACTTAAATTTAAGCTCCTTGACAGAAACTCAGCTTATGTCTGTTCAGAGGGACAGGTATCCTTTTTCGGAGGAGCGCAGGCGGAGGGTATGTACTTCTTTTGAGAGCCAGTTCCATAAAGCCTAAGGTTAGACCCTTAAGGATACATATAGGGTATAAGGTTTAGGGCCCATATTAGTGGTCCATGGTTTCAACCTTAGATAAAGCTAAGACCCCAACTCGACGATCATCAACGCGCTGCGAGAGGAACCCTTCGCCGCCAGCATCAGGATCGTATTGCCTGCGCAGCAGCGCCATTGAATGTCCTATGTGCTTCTCAACTTACTGGTGGTTGTTAGGGAATAAGGGAATATAATCCCTATATAAACCCTATATGATAATATATGTTCCCTTATTGTAGGGAATATAATCCCTATATAATCCCTATATGATAATGTATGTCCCCTTATTCTTCCTACTAACCCCCCGGGAAGTCAACCTCCAGGTAGGCAGTGGCCTGCTTTGTCAGTCGCCTCCAAAGCGGCCTTTCTTTCCAGGAGCAGCGATGAAACTCGGATGTGGCCGGCCTGATGCACCAAAGCATGCGAAGTGCTTAAACATTCTGGGTCTGTCCTACAAGTAAAAACTTGACCTCCTCTGCACACCTACGCACACTGTAGATAACACGGGTACAACCCGAGGTCAGTACCTATGGACATCTAGGGAACTGAATGTAAGCTAGTTGCCTGGACTGCCAATCCTAGAGGAGTGCGGCCATCGTCATCCACGTCAGCGAGTGCCTGCTCTTGGACGCTTCTGAGCAGCGCAGCAATTATAGTGGCCACGGTCATTGGAATTGCACCGTTACTAGATTATCTCATATTCTTTGACAGACATTCGGAGATGCCCTCACCGTGCCTGCGAAACACCTCAAATGTCGCGCGCTGCTTGCACGCAAGACACAACATGAAGGTCCAGCCCTTGCTGCCAAAGCTAGATGCGACTGCGTGGCTGAAATCAATGCTTGTAGGAAGCGTTTTGTTGAAGGCCTCCGCCTGCTCGTACCTGCGCACCCCGCCCACGTCCCGTGTCGCGGATAAGGCAAGTCATGGAAATCACATCACTGTAGATTCTTAGGCCGGGGCAGTGCCATATCTGGCTGCTTTACAGGTTTGGACTTCTTGGTCTTTTTCACCTCCTCGCCTGGAGCAGTCTCATGCTCCTCATCTTCGGTGACATCCGTCTTCCGGCTGCGCCAGCTTTGCTGTGACATGGCGGCAACCTGAATGTGGACATGTTGAATAGATACTGCGGGCGGGGGGGCATGCGAGGCGATCCTCCGGATGGGACAATAAATTTTGAGAATTTGGGTACTGCCACTCCCAGCAACAGTTGAATATCCATAATACTATTATATGAATATATGCTACTCTTAATTAATATGACCCTGAACATAGATTGTTACTGGGGGAAGTACCGAATTGATAAATGTCAAAGGCAAAGTTGAAAAGGTAAGCCAACCATGCGCGCCAAGAAACGGATTCAGCAGTTTCTAGAAGCTCCAAATGAGCTTTGCCTCCCTCCTCCGCACAGGGAAGAAAATTGAGATTAGGTTGTTTATCGGACCTTTTCTCCAGAGTCCAGCGGCTTCCAAGGGTTTAGGGCTTAGGTATCAGCCAGCAGGTTGGTGCCCGTGTAGTGACCATACATCGAAATGGGCGCTTTAGGCGAGTTGGTACCCAGAGGTGTGCTCAAAAAGGATGAGGGTCCAATTCCTGTACTTTCAAAGGTCCAGGGTTGTACCGCCAAGGTTTTGCCTGTAAACGGTTCTGCCAATATGGCCCCAACAACGCCCTTATATGAACCCATGTAGTCGAGTTCCTTAAATCACAAGGATCTGGAAACCCAGAGGTACAACCCTGAATCCTCGCTCTGGCCTGAGAATTCCAAACCCTACACTTCCCCTATGGCACGCAAAAAGGCCTCCCATGATAAGGAGACGCCTCCAGACCCTAGCCCTAACATCCGCAAGCCCTAAACCCTCATATCTTGCATGCTCATCTGAAAGATATGGAAATGTTCAATAATAGGGGTCCCCTTATACACCAAAACAATAACGTTATGGAGAGTCCCCGGAAAAGGGGCCGCTGATCTCTGAAAACCCATATCCATGTAAAACCTACTTTCCATTTAATTCTCCATGTCCTTTTGCGTTTGATTCTCCATTATTGTTGTAATATCCCTACACCCTATATGATACCTGTACACACTTCTACAACCCTATATAACCCCAAGCCCTAAACCCTAAACACTACGCCCTGAACCCGAAATCCCTAAACCCTGACATAGCCCATTATAGTAGTTTCCATTCTCTTTTCCATTATCCCCAATATAACCCTAATACTACCCCAACCCTAAACCCAAAACCCTAAAATCTCAACCCTAAACCCCAAATCCTCAACCCTAAACCCAAAAATCTCAACCCTGAACCCTGCACCCCAAACCCTAAGGTCCTAAACCCTAAACCCCAAAGCAAGTATGTGTCCTGGATCTTGGCCTTGGCCTTGTGACCATCGAGCTGCACTTCCTTGGCTTCCTTCACCTGGCGCTAGGGTTTAGGGCTTAGGGTTTAGGGCTTAGGGTTTAGGGTTTAGGGCTTAGGGTTCCATGGTTAAGGGCTCCTTTAAAGGGGATATAGGGGGTATAGGGGGATGTAATTAAGGGTTCCTTTAGAGCGGATATAGGGGGATGTATAGAGATATGTAGGGTTTAGAGTTTCCGGAAAATGGGGGTGGTATACTGGGGCTTACGTCCCTGATTAAAGTAGCATATAACTATGACTATGAGGTCCTAACCTCCAGGTTGGGTCTCCAAAATCGTCTTGTATTCTAAGCCACGCCGCTTCCCCCCCCAACCTGACATTTTGAAAGGTAATGTTGAACAGGACCGTTGTCCTTCCATGTTTGCTTTTGGGAATGGTAATTCGTACGTAGGTAGCCAATGGCCTCCTTCGTGCTCATGAGACATCAGACCCTCAAGCAATATGATGGCTATCATCTACACCCACAAAACCTCATTAACTCCTTTGCATCCAAGCCCCTTTCACATAAAACAACCCAAAACCCTCTTATGTACTATTTAGGTACTTGGACCCTGAGGGTCAGGCATGGGCAGATAGATCCCAACCTATACCCTAAACCCTGTGGTAAAGTCTGCTTTGCCGTGGACCTTCTTGAGCCCTCAATCCCCAGATCCCTAAAACCTAAACCCTAAGTAGCAGCTTCCATTTTCTTTTCCATTATCTCTACATAACCCCCACAAAACCCCAGTAATTTCCATTTTCCGTTTCCCTTACCCCTACATAACCTGTGATATAGGCTGCTCACCTCCACCAGCTCCTTGGTGGGCTAAATTTTTAAACCCTAAACCCTAAAACCCTAAACCTGCAAACCTCAACCCTCAACCTAAAACCCTAAACCTTAAACCCAAAACCCTAAACCCAAAACCCTCAACCTAAAACCCTGAACCTAAACCCTTAACTCTTAAACCCTTTGAATCTGGAACTGTAAGATGCCAGAAGCCGCAACTGTGGCCAAGCATGCTGGTATTCAGCACAAGCCCGCGAAACCCTAAACCTAAAACCCTAAACCTAACACCCTAAACCCTGAACCTAAAACCCTAAACCCTTTGTCTGCCTCCTTGGCTTCTTTGGAGTCCTTCGGCTCCTGGCTCTTGACATGGTCGGGCTGACGGTGACAGAATCTTTCTGGAGGAGGGGTCGGGGTGGAATGGGGCATATGAAGAGAATGGGGATTTCCCAAAATTAGGTGTACCTTTTTGGGAGTTATAATATTTTTGGATCTATATTGGGGTCCCCTTATTTTGGGAAATGATCAAAAGGGAGCAGGAAAGGTCAAGGGGTGAGAGGGATCATGTTGATGATACAGGCTACTGCCATCAGCTTTTAGCCCGTCGAGGCTTCAAATCCCAAATGTCCATTGAGCTATAGTCTGAACTCCTTCAAGGGGGGTTATATAGGGAACTATATAGGGGACTACTATAGGGTCATTAAGGGGGATACTAGGAGTTTGGACAATTGACAATGGCTCATTTGTTACAGAATGAACGTGCCTCAAGGCACGCCCTCCTCCGCCTTCAATCCCATCACCTTTACATGAGCTATAGTCTAAACTCCCAGTACCCCCTGAATAACCCCTAAAGTAGCCCCTTATGTAATCCCAATATCACCCCCCTTTTCGGATTTGGGGTTTGAGGTTTAGGGTTCTTCACCAACCAGCGCATATACCAATCAAATAACCCGCAACGAGGAGGAGGATGGCCACTGTTTTTTTTGTGCCTGGGGCCTCCCTGAGTTCTCGGAGACTTGCATCAATAGCAGCA